GACCCACTAACAGGAAGAGTTTTAAATATACGAGCTCAGTTGAAAGGCAGTTTGGATGAAATATTTTTATTATAATGACCAAAGTACTGACATAGATCCACATTACCTAACAGATTCACTACCACGAAACCATGATGCAGTTTACGCCAATGTTTGGTGATAGAGAAGGACTTTAAACGTGGGTTGCCGGTTGGCACACTACTGCAAATATCATTTCTAATACAACATTTTTGTTGATAATTTTTTTTTGAGACCTCAACCAAAAAACAAGGGTAGTACTGATCCAGAAAATATCGATTAGATTCAATAAGGGGTTCTAGGGATTATTTTCAAATGATGTGCTACAGTCAAATTGAAGACACCAAATTAATTGTCAAGAGTTTTGTGCAGTACGAAAATTTGTACAGGATTGTTATGTTTTTAACATGACGGCTTGGTGCCATATTTTTTAGAATGGACTGGAGGTTCAGGTAACACAGCACTTCGAAAAAGTTCAGTATATTTCAAAATAGTGGACTGACGGTCAGCAAAAGCTTGGAGCTTTTACACATGGTTTTCTTATCACTATCAACTCTCAACAACTAGTCATTTAAACGTTGTATCATCTTTTGGACAGGTCAATCTATTACCAAACAAATCTGTTAAAAGATGACAAAACTTGTCATTTTGTCATCTAGTAAACCATTTACTTGAGAGTTATAAATTATTTTCGAATATATAAAATCCATTAAAATCCTAATATGGCCCCCAGCGACTATTTCAAATTATCAGTTTCACGTTAAAATCAACATTAATCATCAGCATCAATTTCGTTATATCGAATATCTACTGTTAAACAATTTAGGGAAGGTATTGAAACGTCTCATTCTTCTGATGGGAAATAGCTTCCGACTACTGTTTTATACTCGTAATTTAGTATATTGTGGATTTTTACATCTGGAACGCAAAACAGGAACTTGGTGCTTTCAAAGCTTTACACACCTTTTCTGAAAAAAAAATTGACGTTGCAACTATCTGTAAAGAGGTAACCACCTGAATACCTACTGTGTGTTTGATAACACCCTGTATATGCACTGCATTCATCTCGGATTCTTATTTCATTCTCTACCTTTCATCCAGCTCAAAATCTCCTCCGGGCTAATATTCGCTGCCTGAAATGAACTATATATAGAAATCTCATTGCTCTGGTATTACACAGAAATTCCAAATCGGATATATATGGTATATCATATTGGCGCACACCTTTTCCCTTCTTTTTCTCTATCCAATAAACTCCTATACCTTATCGAGAAGATCATTTAGCAGACTCGAAGATAACGAGGTGGACAAATGATACAGGATGGTGATATTGGTGTACTATTCTGGCACTTTTCATCAAATAGACGTCAGTTTGACGAAGTCTGGCATTTCAAGACTACTTAGTATTTTTACTATACCAGCAGATAACTGTGTCTGGTTGATAGCAGTTTTCACTTGGCTGTCAGACTTTATAGTCTGTTGATTAAATCAACTGTCAAAGCTATATCATGACATAAGAGCGCTGCACTTATGTTGGACGAATGCGCGAATGCGTTTTATGGTCGCTTTATAGTCGCTGTGGAGGTATTATGTTATATACATTCATTTGGATGTGTCAGTATCATATTCAGAGAGCGATCTGAAAATGTAATGCATGTTGATGAACAATATGTATAGTCCTCAACATGGTTTAAAAACGTAATTTTTGGAAAGCCTTGCACTTCGTTGTTTTTTGACATCTATACAATAAAATTGTACAAATACATACATTCCTTCAGGTCATATTCTAGGTTTTCCAAAAATTCTATGGCTCAGTGATTATTAGATATGGCGTGAAATAAGGTTGAGTATCTGTCGACATGAAAGAGTTAGTTGTTTTTTATGAACACATGTGAGACTCTAATTGGTTATTAGGCTGTCAAAGATTGGTTCACACAATGTTCTTCAGGAGCTATTTCAGAAAAGCAAATATTTTTATTGGAATTTATTACAATTATCAATTGTGTTCTACAAATCTGAGGGTTTTAGGCATTGTCTCTAGTTGAAACTAGTTCCTACTATATGCGTGTGTTATAATCACAATTTCCTAATAATAACTTGAATTTACTACCTATACGTAATTTCAGATAAAAGCAGCACTAATTATTAAAGAAACTTGTTGGGGCTTTGGAACTACATTGTGAGGCAGCATTTTCTGACAGGTCCGTCGCAGTGTTCAATTTGCTTCAATCGATACCAAACTGTAATAAAATTCTACATATTATAGAACTGTTTGGTGTCAAAAACTTCTCAACAAACAACGCGTTGGAACGATAGGCCTTTTTTGTATGTCAATTTAAGTATGTATTTTTGTACGTATTCGTGACTTCTGAGGTGACTTGAGGCCACAGCTCCCTATCTAATGAATCCATAGTTTAAGTGAGACTGAACAAGTGCAAAATAACATACAGGGTGGCGCATCGAAAACGAAACAGACGCATTTACTGGCAGCTGAGTTTTTTTTTTTGGTAAAAACGCTCAGACCCGTCGATTTTCTTTTCGAGGGGGACACAAGTTTGGGAAAAATCACGTTAACGCGTGCGGCCCCTGGGCGGGGGTGACACCAACCCTAAAACCTTAAATGGAAAGGGGTGATACCTCATTTTAAAGGTCTTATAGTGCCCTATATAATGATGTAAAATAAATGAGCTTCAGTTCAGTAGTTTTGAAGATTTATTGATTTAAAGCTTAAAGTAGACTTTAATAGGTACATCAGATTAGTTTGTACTACTTTCAGAAGAAAAAAGTTGTTTCTTGTAGAAAGATAAGGAAATATCTCGTGCTTATTTTAAATACGAATTTAGTACATAGTTTGCGGTTGATTTGACCAAACTTTGTTGCTAAAATAACTTGTAACGCTTTATTACATAACTTAACCATGGTATATTTCACAGCAGAAAGAGTTGAAATTATCGAAACATTTTTCGGAAATAATCAGTGCGCTAACAGAACAGCAGAAATATTTAATGAGCGACATGAGAACAGCAACGTGCATCGAAAATATGTTCTAGAACTGGTAGCTAAATTTCGGGAAACTGGGTCAGTCGCCAATAAAAAACGCAACGTTGATAATTCCGTAAGGAACGAAGCAATAGAAGTGGGGGTTTTAGGGCAAGTTTATGTAGATCCTACGTTAAGTACCCGCAAATTGGAGACTGTGTGTGGTGTTAGTCGACGTACTGTCCAAAGGATTCTAAAGGTCCATAGTTTTCATCCGTATAAAATTCACCTGGTACAAGAACTTAATGAAGGCGATTTTGATCGGCGATTACAATTTTGTGAAGATATGAGTGAACGAATTATAAATGATGAACATTTTCTATTCAACACTTGCTTTTCCGACGAATGTTCCTTTTTCTTAAATGGCGTAGTAAATCGTCATAACTGCCGATATTGGTCCGATTCTAATCCCAGAATTTATCATGAGGCTTATACACAGCAGCCACAAAAGTTAAATGTTTGGGCTGGTATTTTTGGCGATCATTTAGTTGATCCTTTTTTCTTACCCGGAAATTTGACCGGTGAATTGTATTTGGAATTACTGGAAGACGCCATAGATCCTGCATTAACAGCCATAATTGAAAATCAGAATGATCGGCGGTACATTGCGGATTGGTTGATGTTCCAACAGGATGGTGCCCCACCACATTGGGCATTACGTGTTCGACAATATTTAGATCAGACGTTTCCAGATCGATGGATTGGTAGAAGAGGTGCCATTGAATGGCCCCCAAGATCGCCAGATTTAACACCTTTGGATTTCTTTATGTGGGGTTATTTAAAAAGCAAAATCTATGCTACTCAGAAGACCTGCGACAAAGAATTGTGAATGAGTGCCTTCAAATTACTCCTCAAATATTGCAAAATGTGCGGTAACGTTTTGAGCAAAATCTTTATTATTGTATGGAGAGTCATGGTGGCCATTTTCAACATTTACTTGCCTAACGGGTCAGTTCATTCTTCATTTTTAAATTACCTTGCTGCCACTAATGATGATGTATTAGTTTTATTTAAGCTTTAAATCAATAAATCTTCAAAACTACTGAACTGAAGTACATTAATTTCATATCATTATAAAGGTAATTGAAAGACCTTTAAAATAAGGTAACCCACGACTCCCTTTCCATTTACGAAAACAAAATCGACGGGTCTAAGCGTTTAAAAAAAAACTGGGCTGTCTAATGTTTTTAGGCTTCTCAGTAGGTAATCCTGCTAGATGCCTAAATTTCGGTAACAGTATTCTCATTTTTTTCACAGTGAAGTCGGTTTTTCAGAAATTCACCATCAGAAGTTTACTGTTATAATATTGAACAATAGTTTTCAAATAATCCCTAGTAAGTATTCTTAGTAATGCCCAGTTAGCCGTTTCATATATCAGGTAGTCAAATAAGTTTGTGATTTTGTGATTTTAGTAGAAAAATATAAATTTTTAATGAGAAACTATGAGACACTATTTATTCGTCAAAGTAATTACCAGCTCATTCAGTGACCATTTGCCAACTTGGAACCAGTTTTTGTATGCCCTGGACCTGGAGTCAAAAAATTGGCGGACTGCATTTATTACACCATCTGGAGTTGTGAACTGTCGGTGCCTCATACAGTTGTCAAGAGACAAACAATGGTGATAATCAGTGGGCGAGATGTCGGCAGAATATGGCGGGTGCGCTAATGTTTCGCAGCCGAGTTCAGAAATTTTTTCTCGGGTCACTTTTGCAGTATGAGGCTTGGCGTTAACCGGAAAGAATATCACTTTCTTCCTATTGATCAAAGAAGGCTGTTTCTGGATGAGTGCTGCTTGTACTCGTTGAAGCTGCTTACAATACAAGTAGCAGAGATGGTTTGATCCCTTTCCAAAAACTCATAATGGACAATTCCAGTTGCTGTCCACCAATCACACAACAAAACCTTGTTTGGGTGCAAAGAAGCCCTGGGCGTGTGTGGTACCGAATCAGTAGGCGACAACCAATGATACGAACGCTTAGAATTCGAATACAAGAGGTTAATAACCGATTAAGAAATGGTTCATTAGTGTTGCGTGAAATATTTGCTGAACAAATGGTAAGACGACTTAATTTGTTATCATTTGTCAGTTCATGTAAAACCCATTTGCTTAACTTCCGCGTCTTTCCTAGCTGATGAAGATGTAAACTAATAGTTTCAGGACTCACTCTGAACATTTCTGCGAGTTTCTTTCACATTGTCTTGGGATTTGCGTCCACAACCTGTCAAAGATCCTCGTTGTTCATGATATTTGGTCTTCCTGAGCGCGGTTCATCGCTCAAACTGAGATCTCCATAAGCAAATTTTTTGAACCACTTCTGTGCTGTTCGATCACTAACGGCATCATCTCCGAATGCGGTACATATTTTTCGCGCCGCTTTTGTACTCATACAGTAAACATCTTCAAATTACTGTCTTATTCGTCGCCATTTTCAATTATCAAAACTAGGTATGTAAAAATGTTCAGCAACTTTTTATGTGTGTGAAACAAGAAGGATTCATAGTAAAGTGACAACAGGTAACAAACAATCGCTATCGATCAACAACATCCATGGCAATGTGCGATATACAGCACCCGCAAAAACCTATTTGGTTACCTGGTATAACCACAGTACATTAATCCGCAAATCCCAAAACTGTTCTTTTGCTTTCTAGTGAAAAGAGGTCATTCATGTAAATATTGAATAGTACTAGTCCTAGGATCGGCCCTTGAGGGAAGCCAAAGGAACAAACTTATCCTAGAATACCATCTCGGATTTAGAGCTAATCATTCTACCATCGTCCAAGTGCATCGCAAGACCATGTCCAGGGGAGAAATAATTTTGCAATGCACTTATATCTGGATGTCACCAGGTATTCAACAAAGTTTGGCATAAAGGATCTATTAATAAAACAAGCGTACCACTTCCATAACAGTACGTCGAAGTAATTAGATCATATTTAATATATGAGTTAAGCAAAAAGATGGTTATAATATGATCTTGTGAATATCAGTGCTGAAGCATCTCAGGGGAGTGTTCGAGGTCCAGAACGCTGTTTAATATATAATAAAGTATATTAGCCATCGAATTCTTGGTGTACATGAACATGGGTCCGCAACGGCTATGTTTTCAAGCTAGAGCTTATTAGCACTAAAAGAAATGATATTGTTCTAAAAAATTATAAACGGATGGAACATATTTTATTTTAGTAAAGTGTGCCCTGTGGTGAGTATCACATGATTTACAGTTGTTTTCAGATCCTCCATGCACGTAGATATGAATAATGTTATCCAGTCTTTCTTGAAAAAATAGCATGACATTGATTTGTTTTAATATTTAAGCATTGTGCTTGACACCTATGACGTACCCGAAAACAATTGAATTATTTATTTCCGCCAATAATTGGTGGCCACTTTGAACATTTATTGTAAAAAAAACTATTCGATATTTTCTATTGTTATCATTATATTCGAATGTTACTGTTCAAAACTATTTTTCTTCTAAATACATCTTTTTTCCAAAAATACAGGATAATACTATTTTCATCCACGTTCATATTGAGCCTCAGCAAGTTGTAAAACATGCAAAATTTATCATAGGTTATGTCAACTGTTCAATAAATACGTTTCATTATTCATAGAAATATTTGGAACATTACTGGTATTTATTTAGTGATAGTGCTTCTAGCTCGAAAAGAAAGAAAGGCGTTACGTACCCATGTTCATATGAACATTTAGTCTTCAAATTGACCAAGGATTCGATGGTTAAAGTTTGTCTATTGTTTATTAACACCCTGTATATCAGATATTCCTGCTATGACCGATATATCAGTTGTGTCATTTGCAGATAATACAGTATCCACTGCAACTGAAAAAGATCCAATAAGTTCTGTGTGCTATCAACAATTTAGTAAAATCTACCCAGATGTGGAAAGTAAAATCAACAAATTCAAATCTATCGGAGTTAAACGGTAAATACTGATGTATGATCCTAGAAATAAGGCTCAAGTGAAAGCACCGTGTTATAAAAAATGGGGAAGAACTGAATCTTTGCTACAAACAATATTATGGGCTACTGGAAAGCTATCGTTTCATAACTCAATCATGATATACGAGTATAAGCAGATATATACACCTGTGTGGCTCTATGGTTGTCACCTACGGGGCTGTTCAAAGGGTTCGAACATCGAAATTATTTCAAGACTCCAAAACAACAAGGTTCTGAGACGATATTGTGGAAATAGCGGTCAGGCACGAAAAAAAAAAGAAAAGAATACTAAGCGAAGGAGCATGTGTTTAGTTGTAGTCACCGTTCTTGGCGGGTCAAAGTAAGACTACCAGTATCCCTTTACGTATATATATCTCCATCTCCTTCATACATACAAATGCAACCGACTGTGTGTAAACGTTTGTGCGCCTGAGTGCCCTTCAATCATATTTGTCAGAGTGACAAGTTACTCGACATCGGCGTGCAATTCGAGTTATCCTGATATCGATTTTCAATATAAAATTTTACAATGCCCGGAAATACGATTAATGGAGAAGGCCGGCAGCTCGTGCTAAATTTATTAGAGTATTTCCAGGAAGAGAATGAAAACAGCGGTCCCCTGTTACCCACTTTACGCGTACTGGGGAGAGTAGCAGATGCACTGAAGATTGGTCTGCACAGTGTTCCGCCCATGGTACGGGGACTCGATATGTTTGCTTATTTCATATGGCGTTGATGACGTAACCGCCAAGAACGGTGACTACAACTGTAGTGTTGTGTGCCTAAAGTTGAGCATGCGCGCAAGTTTTCTGACAGTATTAGCTATACATTAAGGTTATTGCCTCTAGCGATACGTATTAGTTGAAAGAAGGGACAGGAAAATTGAAGGTTGATCAAATTGTTTAGTTGGGGCACCAAATCCACCCTAAAAGCAAAAGAATCTTGTAATTTATTATTCCATTAATACACTATCTCCAAAAATACAATAGTATAAAGTATTCGAAACAAAATAATTTCTGAAAATTAATGGCAGCAACAAATAACGTTTTAATTAAATACATAGTGTTCACACGATGTTCGTATTACTGCTACATTCAATGTGATGAGTTAAATTAAATGCCTGACGATGATTACAAAATTTTCATGTGTAGAGTTATTAGCAGGGTGTGTGGAGAATTAATTCATAATTACTGTAACACCATTATCTATAATTAGTTTATGTTGATTTCCTTATGTTGGATTTTTAACGCTAACTCACTTACACATGTGTTCACATCAAAGTCTTACTAATACTTAATGAACGGAACACTTAAAGCTGCTTCCAGGCGGATAAGGACTCGGAAGCTCCGTTCTTGATGGTTTTCAGAAGTGACGCAAGGACAAGAAAATTGTTGTTCAGAGGAAGGAGTTTAGAGGGTGTAATCAAGTATCTGGCCAAACAAGAGATGATTCTTCTGGTGACTGCAAAAATTCATATAGACATAGCTATTCGCTAACGTTTCGTCTCTAGATACAAAGTCTGTCTTTAGACTCCTTGATCGTCTTTGGGAAAATTCGTAAAAACCCTTCAATCGTTTTTTTGAAAATCTTTCTAGGACAAATTGTTCCCTGAAAATTCAGATAAAATCACTTAACACTTTATTGCCTCGGTCATTTTAGTCGCCGGAGTTATATCCGGAATTTTTCGACCGTTCGCCAATTTGATATAGATTTTCTACGATACGTCCCTAGTTACCAAGCTTCGACGTGTTGTTCAGACTCTTGCACAACAAAAGATTTTCCGAAAAGGCATCGTGATAGCGAAGGACTGTTGAACCTATGTTTATACGAACTTCTTGAAGTTCTTGAGGTACTTTACAAAGATGTATATGAGTGACAAACTTTTGCTTGCAAAATTCAAAATAGGGAAGCAAGGTGACAAGAAAACTTGGGTGTTATGAGAATTTCCGATTAATTTGCTCAAAGGCATAAGATGATATAAAAAATAAGATCTAGTAGATTTTCTACCACAGACCTTGGAACAAATTACTGACCTTTGGGCTACAGTCAAAAAGAATCAAAATACGAAACCATGTTTGCGGTGAATGCCTGTTTTATGTCAATCAAACGTTGTACGCTTGCTTTTCCTGTGAGAGAAACATTGTTATGTCCCTCCTTTTCCATACAACCAGGCACCAGACAGAATTCAAATTATTTCGATCTGTAGAGCATCACAAAACCTGTTCGTAACTCCAGGAATAAATTAGAAGTCCAGATACATAATTGTGAAGTTTGTACACATAATAATACCAAAACATTTCTGAATGATTTATAATACTTTTTTGCAGTTACTCGTCAATAGACAGAAATCCTTGAAAAGTCCGTTTACTAAATCAGCAGCTTTGAGAGCCGAAACAAAGTTTTTGCTTTATACAGCAAGTCTAAGCGGAAATAATTTAAGAAGAAGTGATTCTGTTTTCGGTAGCACTTTACCTACTTCAGGTCTTTTTAAATACACTAGATATTCAGTAAAGGTTGACTGCATATTGATTTTTGCTGATAATCATCTATATTTGTCTGGTAGCTAAATCAAATCACGTATGCTTGAATAACTGTTTACTGATGACGATGTTTCGTCCACAATGGTGGCTTTTTTTCGAATTAAATTATTAATTAATTAAATTAAATTAAACAGTATTTCGAGCACATGTGCTGTTATTTAGTCGCCAAGGAAAAATGGATGATTATCAGAATGAAAAGCATAGGATAAGTTTCAGCTGTTACTTGGATGTTACAGTGACTTTTTCTTTAAACTATATCAAGAGTGATAAAACTGATTTTACAGTCACAACTCATAGTGGCATTATAATAAATCTGATTCTCCCAGCATGTGGGCCTACAGAATAGTGACATTAATTTTGGTTTTTCAATATCTTGATCAAAAATAATGTATGTACGTAGTCGTGCCATAAGTTCTGTCCCATGATAATCTCATGATAAAAATGAAACAAGATAAGATATATTTATATGAAAGATATTATTTATTCGACAACATTTTTAGAATTCATAATCAAACAGTTTTATTCAAAATGTCCCCCCTTGGCCTTCACACACTGCTTCAATCTCGCGGGCCACACATCTATCACTGCACGCACAGCTTCCAAAGGAATAGCTGCCGCTGATCGGATCAAATCCGCTTTCAGGGACTCGATATTACGGTGGGCTTTGGAGCAGGCCAACTGCTCTAGCAGGTCCCACAACTTGTAGTCTAAAGGATTGAGGTCCGGACTCCCTGAGGGCCAATCTTCCGCAGCAATGAACT